GTGAGGGGTGGGCATCAGGGAAAAATGGAGCAAAGGGGGCAGGGGAAGTGAGGGAAGGGCAAGGCACCAGGAGGGTGCCAGGAGTAAGAGAAGGTGCAGATGCCAGGGGATTCTGGGGGTGAAGCAGAAGGGCAGACACCTGCAGTGGAGGGACCACCATCAGAGGAGAGATGCAGGACAGGTGTGTAGAGGGAGGTGTTAGGAGAGGGGATGAGGAGGGGTGATGGAGGGGGGCAGACTGCAGGAAGGCTGAGGGCAATGAGAAGAGCAGGAGTCAGAACAGCAGAGGAAGGTGAGGAGTGGGGGGGGCAAGCAGGCATCAGGGGAGCTGATGGCAGCAGAGGGAAAAGGTAGAGGTTTAAAAATATTTATTAATAACTTGGGTGGCACATCCAAACAAGCCACATGAACTCAATACTGGTGCACAACACAAAATTCATTTTGCTCATGTGAGGAAACTCTTAGGCTGTGTCTACACTGGTTGTCACTCGCGCATGAACATCTTGCACAAGTGTTCTTGTGGAAGAACCCATCCACACTTCCATGTGCGAGCTGTGCTTTTGCACAAGAGCATCTATGGCAGTGTGGACACTCTTGCACAAGAAAGTGCCGATGGCCATTTTAGCCATAGCGTTTTTTTTGCTCAAGAAATTCATGTTGCCTATCTACACTGGCCTCTTGCGCAAGAATAGTTGCTCAAAAGGGCTTATTCCTGAGCGGGAGCATCGTAGTTCTTGTGGAAGAAGCCCTGATTTCATATATGAGAAGGTTAGTGTACTTGCTCAAGAACACACGGCCAGTGTAGACAGGCAGCACATTTTTGCGCAAGAATGGCCACTTTGGCGTAACATCGTGCCAGTGTAGACACAGCCAAGGGGAGGGAGGAAGGCAGGGGCAGGGAATCAGCACTGGCTCAGCATGTCTACATGGTTTGGGGGAAGGTGCAGGGAAATTGAGCTCAGCTGGGTTGCAGAGTGGGGAGCTGGGCTGTGTGTGTGTGTGTGTGTGGGGGGG